CAGAAATACAAAATAACAATCCGTCGTCCACTTTGGGTCTCGTCAGAAATCTGTTTTTGAACCAGTACAAAAAAAAAAGGAAAAAAAAAATATGTACATAACAATAACATTCACTCACATTACCTAAAAACTCGCAGTGAGTATTTTTCCTTGTATGAATATTATCATGTACATTGACTTATCTGGTATCTCCTTCTTCTTCAAGAACCTTCCCGCCTTTAGCCAATCTTGTTGCGGGCCCGGTAGGGTGCAGTGCTGGTTTATTACTAAGTGGCCTTGTGCCAGACACCACACTAAACTACCGAGTCTACAAGCAAAGTAAAAAGATCAAATGTGCGTAAATGAACAACGAAGAAATGTGGTTAATCCACACGTGCATGATTAAAATATATTAACAAGATAGCCTCCTCGGAATGACTGAAAAAGACTGGGTTTCAACAAGAGTAATTTTTATTAAATGCAGGAAAACAAGTAAATTGTCCCGTAGTAGGGTCAATGAAAAAGTTCGCCAAAAAGTAGAAGCAAGATGGCTAAAGGCGGGAAGGTTCTTGAAGAAGAAGGAGATACCAGATAAGTCAATGTACATGATAATATTCATACAAGGAAAAATACTCACTGCGAGTTTTTAGGTAATGTGAGTGAATGTTATTGTTATGTATATTTTTTTTTTTTCCTTTTTTTTGTACTGGTTCAAAACAGATGACGAGACCCAAAGTGGACGACGGATTGTTATTTTGTATGTTCTGCATCGTCTCGAGTAGAACTTTTTTGAATGACGAGTCTCAAAGGGCCGAGGAATTAATATTTTGGATGTTTTGCATCGTCTCGGAGGAGGATTTTGAATGACGAGCCAAAAGGGACGAAGGATTAATCATTTGGTATATGCATCGTCTTATAAAAGGGTTTTGAATGACGATCCAAAAGGGACGCAGAATTAATATTTGGTGTTGGCATCGTAAGATATCCTTCGTCAGTCAACCTTGCATATTGACATGCTAAAAAAATGAGTCTGCTTAGGTCCGAATCTGGATCACAACTGGACTTTTTCTGAAACAACAGTTTGTCGTTGACGTCACAAATTTTCGCGGGAAGATTTCAAAAATCTAATTTGCATAACAGGTCGCTTGGTTGGTGACCAAAAAACAGTTACTACTGTATTAGACCGAACGAGGGAAGGAAAACAAGCGCGCGTAAAATGTCGTAGATGGAATAATACATTATTCCACAGGATCAAACAAGATATGAATTTCTTTCTTTCATGACTGACTTAAAATCCGATATTCAATGACAATGATTTTATTTAAATTCTTTATTACAAATATTTGAACTTCTGCTTATCGTATTAATTGCATTCAATAGTCGGCACAGTATTTTTAAACAATCATATCAACCAACAAAATATTTACTTCAAAATATTCTGAAGACGAAAAGGTTTGAGAAGGAAGACCTTTTCACTGGCGTCGATTTTTTTCTTTACCTCACATACAGTTTCACACATCAGATGATTTTATTCATGTAGATAATTTTTACAGTCTAGCTAACTTCATTTTATTTAGCTGTATTCTGTATAATTCTCAAAATGTGTGTGTATGTGTGTCTGTAATCGGGTGTTGTTTATGCGTTTCCACACTTTTCATCCGATTTCGATGAAATTTTTTTGTTTGATAGATAATTCTTCGGTGCCGGTTTTGAGTCCAAAATGGCTAGAAATAATTGCAACCTTGAAGGTGAAAAATCGAAAAAAAATGATTTTTTACACTTTGCGCAAAAAGTCAAAAGCAAAATTTAATGTCTGTAAAAAAAACAGCGTACAATCAATTTAAAGAGATGAAATCTAACGCAAAAGATGCGCAATGAAAAGACGGTCATGTAACATTTGCAGGGGTGTTCAATACCCGTCTCTACGAGGCAACAGGCATGCAAAATAACATTTTTGGAGGTGGGTGATGATGCCTCAAGCAAGATGACTTTTTTTTCGTCATTTTTCATGTGAAACAACCGCTCAATTTTTTTTTTAAGCGTTTCACCCCAAGCAAGGCGGGAAGCTACTAGGACGCAAGGGGTTACAGAAGATTTGGAGCAAGATCAGATAGGAGTGATAGAGGAAAGGATGAGGAGAAGGATAGTGGATAGATCAAGGCAACTGGAGATGTCGATTGACATTACATTTGAATAGTTGGAGATTATAGCTCACAGGGAAACTGGAATAGGGAAGGGAGTTCCACAGGCGAGAGGTACGAGACATAAAGCTATTGGAGTAGAAGAGACGGCTACATTTAGTAGTTTCATCAGTGAAAGGATGAGAGCGGGATGCCAGCCTCGTAGGGCGCTTGAATTCATGAAGTCTGGGAACCAACGAATGCAGCTCCTCGGAGCAATTACCATGAAAGTATTTGTAAAAAAGACAGAGAGGGGCGACGGTGCGTCTGTGAGAGAGCGACTGTAGACGAGATGCCAGAACAGGGTCAATTATATTGCATATCCGCCTCTGGAGCTTATCAAGAACCCCGAGGCAAACAGAAGGGGATCCAAACCATATATGGCAGCAATACTCCATGCAAGGGCGAATTGTTGATTTGTAGATCTGAAGGATCGATTCCAGGGAGAAAAATTTCCTGGCGCGGCACAGGGAGCCAACTTTCCTTGCGGTGGACAAAGCAATTGACTCAATGTATTTGTTCCATCTCAGGTCAGCAGTCAACGTGAGACCGAGCAGCCGCAGAGAGGTGCTCTCGAGAAGTTGAGCGTCAGAAATTTGTAGCGAACCTAAAATAAGTTTTACAGGTGCAAGACATCAGTGATGTACCCCGTTACCTCAACGTTTAGGCACCATTCTGTCTGCATACGGGTAAACCTACTCATTCTGCAACTCTATGTGTCCATTTACCAAGTTTTGTCTGTTAATATTCTCACAGTTTCATTCGCTTAATACATTTCCTAATATTACTTATTCAAACATAACCTTTCAATGCTAGCTCATGCTGTGTGGGCGTGATTCACAGCTCCACACGTTGCCCATCGGTTGCTGCTGACCTTGATAATTAGCACGTGCAGCAAAGCGTGTACGTGTGATCCTGCAACACGCGATGACACACGCGCTGATGAACACGCATGGCCTGCGAAAAGCGACACCTGTTCCATTTTCCCATTGGTTGCACGAAGCCCCTTTACACGTCCAATCGAATGTCACTGTGTCATACTGATTGTCTACACAGTCCTAAGCTCTTTGCTACCGCTTAATTTCGCAATTCCGCTTCTTCTTCTGTAGGTCCAGCCCTGCTTACACATTCCCCTTCTCTTGGCCAAACTATCAATCTCTTTTCCGTTGCATAAAGCCTGCTACTACAGTTTTAAGGTTTTCCTTTTATTATCGTTTATAGACGTTCCCAATTTAATTTTTTTATTGTTTTGCCAGTTTTTGCATTGCATCTACCGTAGTAATAAGTAAGCTTGATTTTTATTACTCAACATTTATTTTTACAAACTTTCCTAAAGTTATTCGAGCTTAGTGATTCCTGTAGCTTTTCAGTGTTCTCTTCTGGTATTTGCCCACGCATTCCATTTGACAATTCATACTTGCCTAAGACATGCCACCAAAGAATAGATCTTGCCTAGGTCGCAAAAACGCTGCCGCCAGGTCCGCCATGCGAATAAGGGATAACGAATCGTCATTAGAACGTTCAGTTCGCCTGGCTCAAAATGCCTCGGAATGCTTGAATCACAGCCCCTGAGTTCGAAGATCAACGTAGCCATCGGCTTCCCAGAAGAGCATAACTGAACGCTTCTGTGTGCGAGGCTGAAAATGATGATCGAAGGACCCAGTGGCTAAAGAGAAACGCCTCTTCAACTGCCGCTGTGCATCAGGCTAAAACGTGCTGATCAAAGGACTCAACGGTTGAGGAGAAACACCTCTTCAACTGCTGCTGCGCGTGAGGCTGAAACAAGAAACGGCCCTTTCATAGCCACTCTCCATTCCAATTGTTAATCCCACCCCCCATATGGGGATGTGCCTCAGTTGCAACCAATTGAACGGTAAAAATTCCCAGTAATTAAACACCCGGTCGAAGACGGGTTATACTGCTAGTATTCAATATTCTTATATTCCCCTTAAAAGAAAGTGCAGTAAAGAAACCCTATTCTACGGTAGTTACTCTTTAATTAATTTTTTAAAAATAATTTTACATTGTTTTTATTAGATGTTTATATACATAACCTGTTCACCCCTTCGTCCTTGCAACAATCATCAGACGACGTTAGAGCACAACGTCATTCATTTGATCATTTTATATGTCCATCAAAAAAAATAAATAAATAAATAAAATAAAACATTTACAAGAAGATTTTGAAAGATTGTGTACTACGAGATATTTGGTTACGATTTGTAAGTCAATGGGTGATTTCATTTATATTATTTCAACGTTTATTTACGTCATCTAAAAATAAAAAGGCGTAATTTAATTCTTTCAAAACTTCAATGTCGTCTCATGAAATTACTACACTTTGAAAATTTTGTACGTAAGATATTGTGTCAGTATAGAAAAAGAGAGCTATTATTTTTTTTGTATGTATATTGAATAAAGACTAGAAAACAGTCCGTCGTGAGATTTAAACACTCAGTTAAGTTCATACTTTCAAATTCTCACACGTCAAAGGCAAGGAGGATATTTTTTTTTTATTTGGTGGATATTTTGATAAGCGTTAACAGTACATGGTTTACACCGGTATCCATGATGCCAGCGATAGGCGGGTCTGAGGCGGAATGTTACGAAATTTGCCGACCTCTGACGAAATGGCCACGTGGCTGTCTCTCCAAAAGCCCTTCACCTATACATCATTAATTTATCTTTCTTTCGGTTGGGTCGTACGATCGGCTAAGGTATTAGATTTTTGGGTGTTGTTATTTATTTTAGCTGGGAAATAGGTAAAGGAACGCAAACACTTTGAAAATAAAATTCAAAACAGACATGAAAGATCTTGGCATAACAAATGGATCTACCCCGATGTGGGTACCCAGCGACCGAGAAACTCAAATGGATAAACTTCGAAAAATTATTAATGATAAATATCATTTATCTTTAGGTAAGTTGAAAGTTTGAGTCATGAAGATAGTGATTTATTATTTATTAGTAATAATCATAATAATACATATGATGTCATTTTCTATAATTCTTTCTTTATCGGCAATATTGAAAATGAATCTAACGAAAAATGTCTTTTTTTTGTGGAAGAAATGAAAAGTAAAAACAGAAACTAAAAAAAAAGAAAGAATATTTAATTAATTTTATAAAAAATATTAGAAAAATGAAAAATGTTTTGTTTTTGTAAGTTAATGATGAAAAAAATCAATGTTTTTATTATTTTGTAAATCATTAAGTAAAGTTCCTTTTAAATTATCTCTGATGACATTAAAAGATTTCAACGTAATTTTAGCTTAAAACTTGAAATGACGCAACACAAAACAACAAAGCGACGAACTTCTTAAATAGATTGGTCCACTCAAAAAAAAAGTAGGAAAAATTTGTTTTAAATATATTGTTTAGATTAGCATACCTTCTTAAACTTTTCTCAGATTGCGATACTTGTCAGAATAGAAAAGTATTGATTAGTTATAGATTTATAAGGAGGTCCTATTCATACAATAAAAGCGATCCCTTACTTTTTAAAGAGTTATTTGAGACAGTTTGTTTTGAATCTGATGCGTTTGAAACTTTTGCTTTTTTTTTGTCATTAATGCCTACGTATTATTATTCTTTTTTATATTCAAAATAACAAACGTAGATATATTTTTATGGGTTTCGTTTATAAAACAAAATATAATCAATAAGAATTACTGTCTCTAAAGGAATAAATATCTTTTTCTTTCTTTTTTTTTAACAAAGATTTGTCATTAAAGAAAGATTTTTAATAAAAATGCAAAAATCACTTCTCTTCCACGGGGGTGGGGGCAAATTCTTCAACTATTTCCGAAAAGAGTAGTTATTTAAGCTAAAGCTGGGGTTGAATTTTAAAATTTACACAAATTAATAAAAAAAACTAAAAGAAAATGTCTTTTTTACGAATTAAATACCAGATCTCAAGTTTGAGAAAAAAAACAAAAAAAAAACTTTTTTTTAAATGATTTTGAAAATTAAAACAAAAAAATACGCATATTAATAGAGCGTAAGCATTTTCAAACGTAATATTTGTGGATAAACTGCTCGTTTCCCATAACTCTTCAAAGTCAGTGATCGATTTTACATTGTATCTCTAAACCGGACCCCCGTCTAAATTGATAACTAATCCCTACTTTTCGATTCTTACAAGTGTCATTGTCTAAGAAATATCTAGACTAGAGATTGCTAATTAAAAAAAAAAATTCCCCTCACACACACTTTTTTTTTTTTTTTTTTTTAAGTGAACCAGGAGCGAGAACCTGTCTTTCGTTTTGACTTTTGATGATTTTTAAAACGTTTTTAATTTTAAATAAGTCTCTCTCTCTCTCTGCTATTTTCCATACACATTATTATTGTTTATACTCGCTTAAAAAAAATAAAAAGTATCTAAGAAAAAAAATAAGTATAAGAAAAACAAATATTCAACAAAAATCAAGCATTGAGCTGAGTCGTAGTGTTTATTTTTTTTTTACTTTTTTTTTCCATCTCATATTTTTATTTACTAGAGTTCAGTTTTATTTTTAAAGTTTACGATTTCAAAAAAAAAAAGATACAAAATATCTACACTCACTTTTTTTTTTACTGGAGTTCTTTTCTCTTTGACACTGTGTAAAACTTGAATTTTAATTTTAAAAAACTTGTCTGCACTGATTTTTCACAAATCCCCGCGAAAATCAGTTGTATTTATTGAAAATTTGATAAAAAGTGCTTAGAATAAAATTAAAAAAATTAAAATTAACAATGTTTTTTAATTCTTTACTTTTTACTTTAACCCTATTCACGCGGCAAATAAAACTAGTTTTAAATTCAAATTTATATTAAAATTGATGTTTTTTTTTTGTTCCAAACATTTTTTTAAAAAAAAAAACAAAAAACAAAAACACCTTTAGCAAGGTGTGCGTGTCTGTCTTCTTAACAAAAAGTGTTAAAAATGATCCTTTTCTAAAGTAAAGTCTAGTGTCTATTATAAAAGTAAAATGATGACAGTTTTCCACATAGAAATGACAGATAACTTGCTTAGTTTTTATTATAAAACATGTATTGTAGAATAATAATTTTAATTTAAAGTTTTGTTCTATTTGCTGCGTAAGGTGTCTACCTTCTTCTTCCAAGCCCCGAGAATGGGGGTGCTTAATTTTACTTTCAATACAAGATAGATATTCCCATGTCACTTTTCTTTCTTTCTTTATTTTATGATGTTGAAAGGGTCAGCAGTTTACACGCAATGATGTTAGCATGAAAAGCAACAAAAAAGGGATGAAATATAGCAATTTAAAAAAAGCAACGAATGTTTGTGGGAAAGTTTAATTTATTTTTGTTCTGGTTTCTGTCGTTGCATACAAAGGAATAAACGCTTGTCTTGTCAAAAACTTGTTTGTTAAACAATTTGCCATTCTAATTTTAATTTGTACATAAATTAATTAAAACTTAAAAAATACCTGTTTTAATTACCTGACGTTTTATGAGGGGGATGTCGCGACACCTCTTAAGTAGGTTGTTTTCATTTTTTTTTCTCTTTAAAACTTAAAAGGAACACCTGTTTTTATAATTTTTTAAAATTCAGATTTTATTCACTTATGTAAAAATCATTTCCCTTGGCTGATATTGCAAATTTGCTTTTCTTTCTTTTTTTTCTTTTTTTTTCTTGCAAATATTGCAAATTTTTGCTAATATTGCAAATTAAAAATCATGGAACAAGGTAAAGAACCCTAGAAAAGAGAAAGAGAGGATGAGAATTTATGCTATCTTTCCTTTTTTCCACTAATTCGCTTTAAAAAAAAAAAAAAAAAACATAATGATGAAAAAAATGCCCCAAAGTTGTTAAAGTTTTATCATCAAAATCTTTGTTATTATTAAGAGGAAAGACCAAAGTATTTTGAATTATTTAATTATAATTTTTAGTCCTTTTTAGAACGTTCGAAATTTTGGTTAAAAAATGTTTTTTTTTTTTTTTCCTTGCAACTTGGTACCCTAGGTCTTTGGCCGTTACAATGTTTCTGACCCAAAGAGGAGTTCTGTTGCCCTTGAACTCTAGCCAGACAAGACACATAGGAGTATTGTGCCTTTCCTGGGTTATTTGCCCCCCTCATTAAGGGTGCTGAAGGTAAACATATTCTGGGTTTTGGCAGATCTATGATATTGGGTCTGTTGTACTACCATTTTGTGAAGGATTTCTGGACCATGCAGTCGTCTCCAGTGGGGCCTCTCAATGTCATGATGATGGGTACTGTTATGGCGGTATCTCCAGGCGAGTCAGCTCAAGATATTTATGCATTCATCTCCAATAGGTGTCTGTTTCACTGCCTACTAGTCATCCAACAAACCATCCAAAACAAACCTGAAAGCATTTAAATTGAAAATGAACAAAACTAGCACCCCCTCTCAAAAAAAAAATAGACTCCAGTTATACGATCTCTTACAGTGATGTAAGTGGTCTACATCCAAATTTCCAGAAGTGAAACTCCATCTTCTTCACTAAACCTGACTTGTTTCTTTCTGAAATAGGTATCAATGCCTCAATCCCATTACAGGAGTTTACAATCACAGGCTACTCACCCATTATTACAAAATACAACCACCTAAATTGTCACAGGCTCAGTGCCTACATCAAGGACTGGTTTCCCTGTGGCAGGAACACAAAAATTCAGGACCCTGATCTTTGATATATGTGTTTCTACATGGCACTTATCCATAGTACCATATTCATCTTTGCCCTGTATTGTCCTCAGGATGAAGGGTCAGTAATCTTCGAATATCAGAAAGTATTGACAATATCTTCATCAAATTTCCCTTGGCTAATTTTCACATATATAGTGACTTCAGCATTCATCACAGAGTGGTTAGTCCACTTAACAAAACTGATAAGGAAAACCGATATCGCAAAGACATCTCCATCATATATGAATTAACCCAGATTGAAGAACCCACCTGATCCCTGGATACGACGGAACAGCAGGCAAACCTCTTCTAACCTTTTTCTAACATCCTGCCCTGACAAATGTTCAGCAGAGGTTTTGCTCCCATTGGCACGTCAGATTATTCCCTAGTCAGTGTCCAGATTGACTCTGAACCTGTAACATACTCTGATTTTCCGTTCCATGGAATCCTTTTTTGCTATGTGGTGACAGGCTGAGACAGCTTTCGATCCTATATGATGGAAGCTCCTCTCCCAACCTTCTTCAAACATTCTGCTCTAATCTTTGAATGGATCCTTTCTGGAATGGAGTGTTTTATACCAAAAAAATTCCAACAAAAAAACAGTCAGCCCTGGTTCATCTCTGAATGCACTGCAGCCATAACTCATTGGAACTACTACTTCAAAATCTGTTGCAAGGAGTGTTGTAGACTGGCCCTTACTACTTTTAGAACAACTCGCAATCACTGTAATAGAGTCCTGGAAAAACACAAAGTGCGGTTATGTGTAATCTGTCCAGGCCAAGGTTGAAAATAAACAAATTGGATCTCAAATTCTAGAAGATAACCAACCAAATTACGAACAGAGGCAAAACAGCTATGCCTACTATTATAAATGGTCCCGAGGTGATATCCTCCTCATCGCCTCATTCTTTGCCTCAAGCTCAATATTAGATGACAAAGGCCATCCCTTTCCCAATTTCCCACGTCTCACTGAGCACAATCTCTAGACTTATCAAAATCCTCAACCCCCAAAAAAGACATTGGCCCAGACAAAATTCCAGTGGTCATCCTTAAGAATATCAACACAGAATTATCCCCAATTCTAGCAAAGTTATTTAACCACTGCTTGAAAGAGAAATCTTTCCTAAGCATGTGGAAGGTGGCAAGTGCATGCCCAGTCTTGAAGAACGTAGCAACCAATTCTCACCATCCCAGTATAGATCCATTAGTCTCATTTTGAGACCTTAATCAAAAAGAATGTCACTGAGAACCTGGATAGGAACAACCACT